TTGGAAATTTAAGTAACATATAATGGATATCTTGGTACTGACAAATTCAAAAATCTGCCTTTTTCCTCTCCCTGATTATTTGACTGATTAACATTAGAATGCATCAAGTAGCATCAAGAGTTATATTTCCGAATCATCCGCTTAGAATAAAATGTGTTCAAATACATGGTTACGTGACTATTTATGAATGTACTGAAAATGCTCAAATAAATCCAAAGAGGTTTTCTAGCTTTTGTCCACTAGGAGTATGCTCGCTGTGAGTCCTCACAGATAGCTTTTCTATTCGAGGTATGTTACCCCATATGCCTAGATGTTCATGGGAGTTATCAAGAAGCGCCCATGGGTTCGATCAGAGACCTGCCTGGGCAACTTGGCGAGACCTCATCTCTACAATAAGTCAAAAACTAGCCGGGCGTGGTAGCGCGTGCCTGTAGTTCCAGCTACTTGGAAGGCTGAGGCAGAAGGATCGCCGGGGCACAGCAGGTCGAGGCTGCGGTGGCCAGGAGTGGCCACTGCACTCCAGTCTGGGCAACAGTGAGACTCCAACTCAAAAAAAAAAAAAATCCACTGAATGAATGAGTAAACAAACAAAAACTGAGTGTGGGGGAGCCAGGTTCCTCAAGGAATGGAGTTGGAACATGGGGCAGTGAGCAGTGTCGCCCAAAGCGAATACATCTTGGTGTTTTCAAGACGTTGTTGGTCAGCCTTTGGCATGGAGCACAGACTGGAGGGGACAGTATAAGAGGCAGTGAGGACACCAGTGTGGCCATCCTGGCTAAGGGAGGAGTTTGCAAGTCCGAAGAGTATGGTCACTGGCCCAGACAAGGGTGAGCAAGGAAGGAGGCTTGGGTGAGTCCTGGTGAAAGCGGGGAGGAAGAAGAGGTATGAGAGAATAGAGTTGGAGCTGCCAAGAGGACCATCACTAGGACAGAGGACAGCTTGCTGGCCAGGAAGCAGAATAAAAGGAAATCGTACTTCCTGTGTGTCTTCCGTGTGCTGTATATTGTTCTGGCATTCGCCTCTGGGCAGCAGAGGTGGTAGGAAACCCAGGAGCAGACGGCGAGGGCAGTCTTAGGTACAGTGGGACCCTCACCCAGGGAAGGGCATAGTGGCTACAGTTGGGATTGCTGAAGGCTGTAGTCGCAGGCCCTGGGGGAAGAAGGGACGTGGGCTGGAGAGGAGAAATTGTTGGGGCAAGGTGGGAATCCAGCAATAACATTTGGGAGGCAAGGACTGGCTGGGGCTAGGATGGTGGTGCAACTTCATGTTTTCTAGGACAGACGGGGTCCAGCTAGGGAGAGGAGATGTGGGAGGACACGCCTGAAGCACCAGTTGTGGGCACTGCGCAGCATCGGGCAGTGAGGGCTCCTCTCCCTGTGCTCTTGGCTCCTCCATCCCTCCTCCCTCTCTCTGTCACTCTGGCTCTGAAAGTCTTGGCCTCAGCCTCTTTCTTGCCATCTCAGTCCCTCAGGGGTCTTGGTCTGCTCTCTGGAGCTGGGTCTTCCGTGTAAGATTCTGGTTGCGTGTCTGTCTCTGCCTGTCGCTTGTCTGAGGCTGTCTTCCCACCATCCCAGTCTCTCCTTCCCCTCACTCTGTGCCCTCCTGGCCATCTGCACAGCCTGAACTTGCTCAGGCTCCCTTGCTTTGGATCAGTCTCTCTCTCCCCAATGTGCCCTGTGTCTCTTGCTTTCTTGCCCTTGCCGTGGGTCTCTTAGTTCCCTTCTAGCTCTGTTTCCAGGGCCCAGGAGGCTCTGGGAATTCTCCACAGGTCTTGGTGGGCAGCAGCAGGCAGAGCCTGCTTGCTTTCTGTTTCTCTAACTGGACTTTGTAACCAGCCTCTGCCCACCACTGAGGGACTCCTCGTGCTATCCAGAAGCCTGACAAGGGGTGGGCAGTGGGCAGCTGAGGCCCAGCCCCTAAAAAGGACTGACAGACCCTCTGCATTGCTGCCTACCACATGTCCATGGGTCGGGATGCCTCCTGCTCACTGTTCCTCAGGGGTCAGGAGCGATGCAGGCTTTCCTGAGCCTTCCTGGCCATCTCCCCTCACCCATGGCCCTTTCCCCAGATCATTACCTCAGAGGAGGCGGAGCGGCGGGGCCAGATCTACGACCGCCAGGGCGCCACCTATCTCTTTGACCTGGACTACGTGGAGGACGTGTACACTGTGGATGCCGCCCACTATGGCAACATCTCCCACTTTGTCAACCACAGTGTGGGTACCCCTGGCAGGCGGGCAGGGGGTTGGGAGGGACAGGCTGGGGCCCCTCCTCACCCTCCCACTGTTCTTTCTCGTCCAGTGTGATCCCAACCTGCAGGTGTACAACGTCTTCATAGACAACCTTGATGAGCGACTGCCCCGCATTGCATTCTTTGCAACAAGAACCATCCGGGCAGGCGAGGAGCTCACCTTTGATTACAACATGCAAGGTGGGGGTGGCGAGGGACTGGGGGCAGGGGCACACAATGATGTGGGATACAAAGAGCCCTTCCAGGGCTCCAAGAGGTGCACCAGTCACTCAGAGAGCCGAGGAAAATTCCTGAGCTGGAGCCTTAGAATGTTCTTCCTGATGCCCAGTCTCCTGTCTGGACTCCTAGACCCCTGCCCACCTCCCTTAGGTCCCCTTACTCCCAACCCCTGAGCCCCAAGCCTCAGACATTCATACTAACCTCTCCCAAGACTGCTGGGGAAGGATGTTTGGCTGGACAGTTAAGACACTCCTCCTGACTCCAGTCTTGACTGAGTTTTCCCCATCCCCCAACCCCTCCCCACTCCTAACCCCCTTTGGCCATCCTCATTCCAAGCTTCTGCACACCTCTGGCCTCCGGCAAGTCCCCTCCTTGACAAATTAGCCACCTCTGAGACACTCAAGGGCAGGTCTTCGGCAGGAGAGTTCAGGTGCCCCTCTGGATGCCCAGGTGGCCCTCCATTTCTGACCCCCGCCTGAAGCAACCCCCTAGTTCTCTGACAGCCCCCTTGCCTCCGCCAACATCCCTCAACACCTGGCCTGACCACCCCTCCAGTGCTGAGCCCTAGCCCCAAACTACCAACCCTAAGATCCCTTCCTAACTCAAATCCCAGAGCTGCTCCCAGCCCTCAAGGTCCCCAGTCTCATGGTAAAAAGGGTAGCTGGACGCTTCATCCAGGCCTTCTAACACGTCCCCTCCCTCCCACCCTCTCTCCCTTTCTTACTCTCTCCCTCCCTGCCTCCCTCCCTCCTTCCCTCCCTGGCTGTGACTCCACAGTGGACCCCGTGGACATGGAGAGCACCCGCATGGACTCCAACTTTGGCCTCGCTGGGCTCCCCGGCTCCCCCAAGAAGCGGGTCCGTATTGAATGCAAGTGTGGGACTGAAAATTGTCGCAAATACCTCTTCTAACCTTCCCCCTACCGCTGCCAGGGCCTTGCCTGCCTCCACCTGCCTCCACCTGCCTCCACCTGCCCCCATCTGCTCCACATTCAGGGCTGCAGCTGTGGTGAGGAACAACTCCAGGAGTACCCTTTCCCTGGCTTAGCCCCATCTGTGGGTTGCACTTATAAACTCCTGCCCGTTCAGAAGTAATTTTTGAACATCAGAACTTTCTGCAGTTGGGATTCATGGCTTATCAAGGAGGTCCAAGGGGTGAGCCCCAGTCCAGAAGAAAAGATGTCTATTTTTATGCCTGCTTCGGCCTGGAGCTTGAGGGGTCTGTTGCAGTCCTCCTCCCACTGCTCCGAAGGTGTGGGGAAGCAACCCCAGAGCAGGCAGACATTGGAGCCCAGAGCTGCCAGCCTGGCCACAGGAACTTCATGCTAGTGAAAGGAAAGGGATCTCCAGGGCTGGAGGCTGAGGCTGGTTTCTGCTTGTGCTTACAATGCTGGCTAGTGTTGGCCCCGAGAGCTGCAGGGTCTCTTTCTCAGGGCTGCATACCTGAGATATGTATGCCCGCATGCCACTGGAAGGGAAATGGGTGCCCGTGGCCTGCTGACCAGTGAGAGGAAGGAAGTCCAGACTTGGCCAGCCTTGGAGGTGAGCTGGGACCAAGCTCTGCCTTCACAGAGTACAGAGAAGGTACCCAGGGCTCTCGGGAGCTGGGGGCCCTGACCTGGGGTGTGATGACTGCCGAGACTGCTCAGAGCTGGAACCAAGATCTAGATAGTCCATAGATAGCACTTAGGGCAGAAATGTGCATGGCTGGGGTGCTGATGAGGCGTTAGGCACTGGGGTTGAGCACCTGGTCCACGTGGATTGTCTCAGGGAAGCCTTGAAAACCACAGAGGTGGATCCCAGGAAAGGGCCCATGTGGTAGAAGGCAAAGTACAGGCCAAGAACTGGGGGTTGGGAAATGGCTTCCCCACTGTGGGGTGGTGAGGTGAGAGGGAAGCCCCTGCTGCCTACCATCCCAGACCCCAGGCCTTTATGCTCACCCTGGGTTGACTGGCCTCAAAAGTTACCTGCCTACAAATGTACACAAAAGGCAAAGGTTCTGATGGCTGCATCGCCCCTTGCTCCCCCACCCCCGTGAGGTCTTCTCTAGGAAGCCCTTCCTTACTACCTGTGCCCAGAGTGCCCCTATGTGAGACTGTGTGCCCTGCTACCAGATACCAGATATATGTGTCTATCTGTATGTCCATCCTGCCCTTCCCATGACTGACCTTCAGGCATGGACTGAATCTGGTTCTCTTGTATACCCCTCGGCCCTACTCAGCCTGGAGTGGGCATCAATAAAATGAATTATTGACTGAACAAACTGAGGTGTGGGGGACTGAGGACCTTGTGTGGGCGGGGTTGAGGGGTTAGAGGTTGGGAGCTGGGTTTGCCCAGGACTGTTCCTCAAACCTGTCATTTGACTCTCATCTTCCCAATTTCAGCCCACACAGTATACCACTTGCACCATCATCTATATAACATGTTGACCTAAAATTAACTTCCTTTATACTTACATGTTAAAATGTACTTAAATTGACTGGCTTAGACCAGCAGTGACTGGCTTTCATGAGACTTGACTACCTTTGACTGACCTTGACTGATCTTGACCAGTCTTGACTGGTCTCCACCAGCAGCAACTGGAATTGATTGGTTATGATCAGCTTAGATTGGCTGAGACCAGTTTTGACCAGTCTTAACCAACTTTGACCAGCGCTACCCAGTCATGACTGACCTTGACTGCTCTTGACCAGCATGGACCAGCCATGACTGGCAGTAAACTGGCTGTGACCAGCTTTGACTGGTTTTGACACTTGACCAGCAGTGACTGACCTTGGCCAGTAGTATTTGGCTGTGATCCTGCTACCTCCTGCCCAACTGATGCCGTGGACTCAGAATTATACAGTGTTGCAGTAGGGGTAGGTGGAGGGGAGCAGAGTGGAGAGGGAGGAAACCAAATCCATTGCTGTCTAAATGGACAAACCATTATCGCTTGCCATAAACAAACAAAAATAACTAACCAGAGAAATACATACAGTGGAAATACAGAAATGTGATAAAATTCTAGCTGGACCCTCCCTGCTTAAAAGGCTTTGAAGCTCAAGCCTGCCTCCTGTATTCAAAATGAAAAGTTTGTGTGTGCCAGGGAAGCTCTTCCTGCAAATATTTATTGACCACCTATATATACCAAGGTATAAAGTAGAAAACAGACATAATGTTTCTTTTTTTAAATTTGAGTTGGAGTCTCATTCCGTCACCCAGACTGGAGTGCAGTGGCCGCTCCCGGCCACCGCAGCCTCGACCTGCAGGGCTCTGGCGATCCTTCCGCCTCAGCCTTCCAAGTACCTGGAACTACAGGCGCGTGCTACCATGCCTGGCTAATTTTTGATTTATTGTAGAGATGAAGTCTCACCCAGTTGCCCAGCCGGGTCTCGAACCCGCGGGCTCAGGCAATCCACTCACCTCGGCCTTCCAAAGCGCGGGATTATAGGCTGAGCCACCGAGCCTGGCCTATAATGTTTCAAGTCTACTTGTTTTCATCATTCCTCAACCTAAATGTGAGCCAATGCTGTGTTTTTGCTCAGAGACTTCACATGCTGTGACACAGTTACCCAAATATTTCAAAGACCTCACACACAAACGACAGAGTCCCAGACAGCTCAGAGACTGCACACCCTGTGACAAAGATCCTCAAACTCAGAGACCACACACAGGGCACCTTGAGCACAGGTCTCCAAGTAGCTCATAGGCCTTATATCCTGAACACTGACCCCAAACCTCTCAGAAACCTCACACCGTGAGATACCTATATATAGCTCAGAGCTCTCCTACCTGAACATGTCCCAAATTACTACAGGCTTCGCTGAAACTAAGGGCCACAGACTCCTAAACAGCTCTGAGACTTTACATGCTGCTTCATACACTGGGATTCAGACCTCAAACACACTAGAGAACTTTCCTTCTGTGATAGAGATGCATAAACATCTCAAAGACGTTACAACCTGGGATATGGCTACCCAAACTACTCTGAGGCTTCACACCCTGATCACTGACTTTCAAACTGCTCAGGAACTTCAATCTTGGGACAGACCCCCAAATAACGGCGATGTCACACCCTGAACATAGATCACCCAAATACCCAAGGTAACTCACATTCTGAACACAGATCCTTAAATGGTTCCAAAACCTCATACTTTGAACACAGACCTTAAAAAATAAACCATTAAACAACCCAGAGATCTTACTCACATGTGATCACAGTGCCACAAACAACTCAAACTCAAATGTTTGATGCAGACCCCAAAAGTATAGAGATCTCACAGCCTGGTAAGACTCTGCTCAGAGAATTCGTACCTGGGAAACAAATCTGTCTATACTGTATATGCTTCTGACACAGACCCCTAAACAGTTTAGTCAGGACAACCTAGGAATAAATATATCCCTAGTCTATAGATAACAGGCAATACCAAATCCTTCAGATACCTCATGCTTTGTAACCCACAGACTCTAGGAGCTCAGAGACCTGAAAATCTGATTACAGACCCCCACAAGGCTCAGAGACTTCACAATCAGGGATAAAGACCCACCAATTTATCAGAGAACTCACAACTTGAACAGACAGTTCAAAGACCTTACACCCTCAGACCACCAGACAGCTCAGAGACCTCACCTTGAACATGACACTAGTCAGCTCTGAAATCACATATGCTGGAACATGGGCTCTAAAACCAACTCAGAGGCTCACACCCTGGACACAGATTCCTGTTCAGAGACATCAGATACTGGACACAAATTTCCTAAAAAAGAATTCACAGCCTTTGTACACTAAGACACCCCCAAATAGCTGAGAGGCCTCACAGACCTGAAAATCTGGACACAAGCCCTCTACATAGTTTAAAGATCTCACACCCTGTGATACAGTAACTGAGAACACACATCCTAGACACAGACCCCAAACAGCTTAGAAACTTCATATCCTAGCTCAGATCCCCAACAGTTCAGAATTGTCACACACTAAACACAGACTTCTAAATGCTCCAGAAAGGTCACACACTAGACTTGGACCTCAAAAACATTCATGGAACTTGTACTTTGTACTCATATCCAGAAAGATTTCAGATACCTGACAGTCATGGACACAGATCACCAAACAGCTTCGAAACCTCATATTCTTGTGCAAAGTTGGCCACAAACAGCGGAGAGACCTCAGAACCGGAATACAGATCCAAGACAGCTTCTGGACCTCATACTGCAGAAACAGGCTCCCAGATGGCTCAGAGAACTTCTAATCTGGGAGACAGACATGAAAACAGTTCAGAGACATTACATTCCAGCTTCATATGCGCATACGCCTCAATCAACTCACATTATGGGACACAAACCCTCAAAGAGTTAGCCTCATGACCTGGAAAATAAACCCATACACAGGCCAGAGACCTTCCACAGCAGACAAACAATGCCAAAATGCTCAGAGTTGACAAACTTTTTTTTTTTTTTTTTTTTGAGTTGGAGTCTCACTCTGTCGCCCAGACTAAAGTGCAGTGGCCGCTCCCGGCCACCGCAGCCTCGACCTGCTGGACTCCGGCGATCCTTCCGCCTCAGTCTTCCAAGTAGCTGGAACTACAGGCGCACGCTACCACGCCCGGCTAATTTTTTGATTTATTGTAGAGATGAGGTCTCATCAAGTTGCCCAGGTGGGTCTCGAACCCGCGGGCTCAGGCAATCCACTTACCTCAGCCTCCCAAAGCGCGGTATTACAGGCTGAGCCAGCGAGCCCGGCTGAGAGTTGACAAACTTTACATGTTAAAACACAGATTCCCAAACAGCCCAGTGACATACATCCTGGGCACAGCCCCCCCCCACAACACCTGAGAAAGATAGGAAACATCAAGCAGAATCCCAGACAGCTCGGAGACCTCAAACCCTGGAAACAGATCACCAATAATAAGTCAGAGACCTCACACCCTGGGACT